CCCACCACAAAAATACAACAAATGTTATGGTCAGCAAAGGACAGAAGGGACCTTCTCACCACTGCAGGAGTATACCGGATACCTTGCAGTTGTGGCCAGGTATATATTGGAACCACAAAACGAAGCATCCACACCAGAATCAAAGAACATGAGAGACACTGCAGACTAAAACAACTGGAAAAATCAGCAGTAGCTGAACATGCCCTAAAACAAGCTGGACATGAAATTCTATTTCAAAATACTGAAATACGGGACAACACCAGCAATCATTACATTAGACTGCACAGGGAAGCCATTGAAATCCACAAGTACCAGCAGAACTTCAACAAAAAAAGAGGAAAGTTTGAAACTCAACAAAACTTGGCTCCCAGGTCTCAAAAATACAGCGTGCAAAAGGTCAATGAACTCTACCCAGCCACAAGGACCGGGTACAAACAAAAGACCAGCTAATGACACCCATCAACCACAGTGACAGATACTCTCCTTAACACAACAGTACACCCACAAGAAGACACACTAATCACCCATCTACAGAAAAAGACAAAAGCCCATCTCACAGCCATAAATACTCCACTCCCAAGCCAACTACACCAGAGCACAGAGTGCTGTCCTCTGAAGATGCCGGCCACAGAAACTGGCAAAACGGTAGGAAGAACAACCTTCAGAACACTGCCAAGAACCCGAAAAACCCACAACAACCATTTCCTCAAACTGTTTGGGACATTTTTGAACCACTTCTTAAACGTGTGGACGAAAACCCAGTGAGATCTACATTGGTTCAGTACTAAGTAAGCACTAACAAGGGGTGAAGAGACAAGTACACCATCTGCATGACCATTTGTTTTCACTGAGGGACCATATTTACATTTAGTTTTTATAAAATTCTGTTGAAATGGGATCTGGTATATTCATCATACACAAGTCAGTTTCATATACAACCCCCTTGTCACTCCACTCATCCATATCAAAGTCCCAGGCCTTCATCAGATATTAAAGTCTTCCTTTCTGCCTCTCATCCATGTTCTGTCTAGCAGAACTTTTGCATCTGTTCAGTAATGTTTATCTCAAAATAAAAATAGCATGTATGCTTAAATAATATTAACAATGTCCTTTCATTCCTGGCATATGTCTGAGGTCAGTGTACATATGTCTGAAGTCAGTGTACATGCATTAACATAAAAAGAAATTGTTTTATTTGCCTAGTTTTAAATACCCATGTCTTATTGTTCATTCGTGTTACACAATGAATTAAAAATAAGAGTTTTAAAATAACTTCAGTGAGTATTGCTTTACATTTGTTTCAAAAGCGATGGGAACTTTATGTTCTGAGACTTCCAGATATGCTAAACCTTAAAAAAATGAAAACATTCTCTGTTGATCCTTATTAACTTAATTCAGCAGTGGTCTGGAAATTCACTAATTTGCCAGAAGCTGCCATATTACTTTGAGACGAATAGCACTATCAAGCTTTACTGCCCAAAGATAAAATGAAGGATGAACTTCTCAATTATCCTGAGCGCTAACATTTTTTTTATATGTGGAAGAGGTAGGCAGAACAGGTTGATGCGGGAATTCCAAAGGTATTTTCTCAGCTCGTATTATGCAGTTCCAAGTTTGTGTTGCACTGCCCTTTGATTTGTTGTGTGGAGGGTTCGTTAGAAAAAGAAAACACCATGGCGGTCAAGATTTTGGCAGTATTGGTGGTCAAAATACATATGGGTTAAACATAAATAATACATTCAGCTCATATTTGAAACAGAGAAAATGTACACCAATTTTACGTATATCAAATGTGCATCCATTCTACTACTACTATCCCGCCCCTCCCAGATTGAAATAAAGGAAAAGTTTTTTTCAGAACCTCTGAGAGTCTTGAAGAAACAGCCGAGGATGTCAAGGCTACAGTTTGGAAAGAACTACCTACATCTTAAAATGGGTGGGCCATGGGAAAAATCTAGCCCCTGGTAACACAGACGAATAAGTTACTTGGAAGTCATCTATTACCGTAAGCTATGGAGATGAGTTGGTAGGACCAAAGTGAACCTAAGAACATTTAAGAGTTTTCACCATCGCAGTCCTTTGCAAGTTACAGAAAAGAATAGGTAACTTCACACACATGTCTATGCCCCTCAACATGTGCTATGGAAGATTTGATGTCAGCTGGTCCAAATGCTTTTGATGTTTCCTACTGTTGAATGAAAATTATCTGATATATTAATTGTATAGTGGTATTTTGACATGAACAAAGAAAGGAATAAAGGAAAATACTAATTTTAAGAATATGTATATACTACTTTATAGTAACAGCAGTGTGCAAGTCAAGCAGATACAAAAAAATGACATTAAAACAAGATAACTTCCAAATAATTCACAATAAATGTTCTTTCATTAGTTGGAAAAATGTATGCTGGCAGCATCAGTGATCAGGAAATACGTATAGTAATATATAAGATCTCAGGATGCAGGAGAAAGAGAGAGAATTCTGTTAGAACATTTGCAAGGAAGGCGCTGTATTATAGGCATTTGTGGGAGAGAAAATGTTATCTACAGTGACTGAAAAATATAAAATTTGGAAATCCTAAGGAAAATGCTCAAGACTGGAATGACAAGTAAGGATATGCCCATTTTTTTGTACAATACTAAAATTCAAGAATTCTCCATTCTGTTCCACTTGACAGATACACACAGAAATGTGTCTTCCCTGCAAGAAATGACTAGACTGGAAGGCTTTGTGGCCTAGCATAGGTCTAATTCTGCCTATCTTCCTGTTCAAAAAGGATGTTGCTATTACACACTTTATTTGAGCAGAAAGCTAGGTGGCATTAAGTTTATGCTGGGCCATGAAGACTTCTTGCTTATGGCTTTCTCCCAGATAAGCCACATTTAGGGGTGTGCATGTCAGGTGAAGCTACCAGAATGGAGAATTCTGGGATTTGTTTAAAAAGGAACATCTCTAGCTACCTAGAGTGGTCGCAAGACCAGTTAGGCGGGATATAAATCAACTAAATAAATAATTGCAAGTGCTGAGCCAAAATTTTTAGAAGGCATTTTTCTGAGAACCATATTCTTTTTTGTTCTCTTTAAAAAAGCTGCTTGGTGCCTAACATCCTACAGTACCTCTATAAGAATATTCTAGAATGACATTGGGGTACAGTGATGTCCAGACTACCAATAGTGCAAAGCCATGTTACAACCACTACTAAGTTTGCAGAATGCGTTTGGTGAATTAGTGTCCCTAGGTTTCCCCTGCCATGGTGAATTTGTGCACAGCTATAACAGTGCTGGTGTCCAATTTCTCTCTAGGTATGGTGTCTATTTGAAGGAAATGTATTCAAAAATGCTACCTCTATAAAGGTCCTCTTCCTGGTTATAAAGCAGGTAGTGGATGACTGTGGTACCACCAAGAAAGCTTCACTCACTAATCTCATGTGGATGTATGGAAGCACTCATTCTTCCTGTCTTCATTTCCTCACCTTCCAGGACTTACTAGTGGTAATTTTGAAAGGCAGTCCAAAAAGAACGTCCATCATTTAAAAAATATGCATCGGCTTTTGAGTCTCCAAGTCTACCGGACTCCTGTTAAGAAAGTGTCACTTTAACTTGCTAAAGGTGTGACAATTGTTTCCTCAGCTGACCTTTAAAACTATGATGGGATGTATTTCTGTGGATCAGTTGGTGTAGATGTTTCCTGTTGAACATCAGTTGTGTGACTCAGTACACAACAGCAAAT